TAAGACATCTTCTGCTTGTCAAATTTTTGTTTTTAATGTCATTTCGCATAAATCTTTTGACTACAGCAGAATTTGCCCACGTGCCCATTTGCAGTTTTGCTGTATTCGTTGTGGTGCAATCAGTACAAAAAAAACACAAAACGATGGGAAATGTACCTACGCCGATAAAGCATTTAAGCAGCCTTTGCAATTGATGCTGATGTAAACTGCCTTAATCTCTAATAGCATTACTGCATCTTTGAAGATCAAACACAATAGACGATGAGCAGTTATTTTGTACTGCTGCTGTTATGAAGCTCCGTGCTGGTTTCCCATGCTGAATATGCCACAGCCTTTTTAAAGATTCCTGTGTATCGTCATGCTAGCTTCTGAAACTGTGCTGGGTCCTTCGCCTGAAGGGCTTGGGCTTCAGTGTCTCGAGGCTTCAGCGACTGCTTTCCAGACGCAGGTGTAGCGAGCGGCCATATTTAAGTGACCTTAAAGTCCATAGATGGCTGCTATAGATGTCTGAATACATGCTTTTCTGTCGGGAACAAATATGATTAAGGCTTTGTGTGTATATGTATAGTATGTTGTGCTCTGATGACCGAAGATGGCAAACAACTCCTGAGTGGTTTTAAAATTAAATGTAGTACAAAACAGCAAACATATATAGAAGAGGCATGTTTATATATAGAGATGTTGACAGTCTTTCTGAAAGTAATTTATGGTTGCTAATTGGGAAATGACTAGGCTTGATTGTGCATTTCTAAAGTGTGAATGCGTGTGTGTGTGTGTGGCTTCAACAGAAATGTTTCATTAATTAACAAATTACTAACATGCAGAAACAGCCCAACTGTTAAATATGCAAAGGTCAAAAATATACCTCAGTTATGAACACTAGAGAAGTACCAGTTGTGTGTGTATCATTCTTGAGAGACTGAAATTCTTGTGATGGTGTGTAATATTACAGCCAGGAAATCCTTGTATAGGAATATTTAGGTTGCATGTCCACCACAATAACTTCAACTCATAAATTCAGGACAGGATATGTAGGACACCTGTGTGTGTTTATTAAGATCATTTTGTGTTGTAAGAGAAGTATTGCTGCTTTTTGGGCCAAATCTATGCTGCATATTTTAGATTTCACACTACATTTCAGTCATGCTTCAGGTTGGAGAGTTCTGTTGCTGAAACTGTAAATGTAACATTACATGTTGAAATATTTTACAATATTTTTTTAATTACTTTAATATTAGTGTATATTTATTGTAGGTTTACCTAAATAAAAAGGTGTTGAGAACAATACAAAGTGTCTCAATATTATGCTTTAATAGGCCGTGAACAAGGAACAGCTGCAATGCACTCTGGACTGAAACCACAAGTAGATATGGCCACCGGTGAGTTTATCGTTTGGGAGATGATGCTAAATGTTTTGTGCTAATTGTGCTAATAACCAGGCTAATTTCTATTCATGTGAACGGAACTGTATCACAATCACAGAATCAGAGATTTGGGGTGGCATGGTGGTGCAGTGGTTAGTACTGTTCACACATCTAGGACCAGGGTTTGAGTCTCCCATAGGGTTTCCTCTGGGATATGCACACACACAGACCAGAAACATGCTAAGGTGAGTTGGGAACTACCAAATTGCCCTTAGGCATGAATGAATGGTGTGTGAGCCTTCCTGGGTTATTCCCTGCCCTGTGATGGGTTTGGTGCCCCTTCCTGGGTTATTCCCTGCCCTGTGATGGGTTAGCACCCCCTCCTGGGCTGTTCCCTGCCTTGTACCCATAGGCTCTGGGCCCCCTGCCACCCTAACGAGGAAATGGATGGATGGATGGACCTGGAGACCTTCCCCATAAAGTCAGCTGCATCCTGCACTGGGAAATCTTCATTTTCTAATCTCTACAGCCATGGAAAAATCATCAACATTTTTCTAATTTCAGCACAGCCTGCATTTATTTTTGGTCTTCTGTAAATAAATATTTATTTTTAAAAATAAGTTACGTGATAGGAATGATTTTCATGTGACCAATAGCCTTTTCCTTCCTAATCCTCAGTTTCCCATGAATCACTGCTGTTGCACGCAGTACATGACTGAGGTACTCCTTACAACTGATGGGGACAGCTGCTGCTCGTAGCCCCCATGCATGGAACAGAAATGTTCTGTCTACTGCTTAGAAAAGCTACTGAAAAAGCAGTTGTTCTCATTGGAATCCAAACCATATATGTCCTTTTTGCCAGGTGGTGTGACGATACGGCAGCTCAGCCATGGCTCTTTAGTGATGTGAATGTGTTTCACAGTGAGGAACCAGGCCCATGGTGACAGTGCCACTGCAGAAGAGTACAGCCATGTTCCAGCTCAAAGTGCAAAAGCAAGGCTGCATTTACTGGGCATAAAACCTCCGTTTTGTGACATTTATTGAACGGCAGCATTTTCCCCTGACATGGAACACTGATTTACTAAGCACTTTTCCATTCATTTTCTATGCAACATCCTCCCCCCTACTTATCTAAAAATATCAGCAGGAATGTCTGGGAGATGAAAATGTCCAGTGCAGAATAATGCATCACTGATAGTACTTTCCATAAGTGGAGACAAGTCTGTTTAATCATTGTCTGCCCATTTTAATTTCAGGCACCTTTCCAGTGGCACACTGGCACATGTGTGTCCTACAATAAGGATTAAGGTTTGAAATGTGTTTATATGGAGATTACTCTGCATTTTCTGGTCCGTCCGTCCCCCGCCCCCAAGTCCAAAAACACGCTAAGGTGAATTGGGGTTGCCAGATTGTCGGTAGGTATGAATGTCTGTGTAACTGGTGTGTGAGTCTGTCCCGCGATGGGTAGAGCCCCATCCTGGGTTATTCCCTGCCTTGTGCCCCGCGATGGGTAGAGCCCCTTCCTGGGTTATTCCCTGCCTTGTGCCCCGCGATGGGTAGCGCCCCTTCCTGGGTTATTCCCTGCCTTGTGCCCCGCGATGGGTAGCGCCCCTTCCTGGGTTATTCCCTGCCTTGTGCCCCGCGATGGGTAGAGCCC